GTCCTAACCGGAAGCCCCCTGTTCAATTCTGGAGTTGACCGGAAGTCTGATTCGCCCACCATAGAGTCTTCTCCTAGCGCAGCGTCCTTTTTTCTCTGCTAACCGAAGTCCGGTTCTCCCCACCATAGACTCTCCTCTTAGCACAGTGTCCTTTTTCCTCTACCTCTCCTGACTGGAAGCCCTATCAGTTGTGGAGCTGACCAGCAACAGGGAGCTGCAGCAGAGGGATGAAAGAGCCACATGCAGCTCCAGAGCCATGGGGTGCCGACACCTGGTTTAAGCTAACTTGAGAATCCCTCTTGGGACCATTACTGACCTTGTGGTAGAAATGACAATATTACAATATAAGACCCTTGTTTTTTTTAAAAGACTCAAGAGGCCAGAACACACACTAGACCCATGATGGCGAACCTATGGCATGTGTGCTGGAAGTGGCACGCAGAACCATTTCTGCCGGCACGTGAGCTGTCGGCCGGAACTGATTCACTGTGCACGCACGCGCGCCCCTCCACCAGCCAGCTGATTGTCGGGTATCTGCCGTGCATGCACAGGTGGTGGTGGGCACAGGTGGGGTCGCACGCGCATTGCATTATGCATGCAGGAATGCATGCATGTGCACTTTTGGCACGCGATGACAAAAAAGTTAGCCATCCCTGCCCTAGACTAATGTTGTTGTTCAGTTGCTAAGTCATGCCTGACTGTTCGTGACCCCATAGATCATAGCATACCAGCCCCCCACCCTGTCCTCCACTGTCTCCTGGACAGTATTTACCCAAATTCATGTCTATTTCCATTGATGACACCATCTAACCATCTCGTCCTCTATCGTCCCCTTTTCCTTTTGCCTTCAACCTTTCCCAACATCAGGGTCTTTCCCAATGAGTCCTCGCTTCCCACTTGTATTTGAGCTTGACCAACATTAGCTAGGGATATTCTTCAATTGCTTTTACGTACTCAAAACAGCTCAGTCTTCAGTCTTCTAATAATGTAACCTTACTCGTGGTCTCAAATGCATCAAGTTGTATGGATTTTTGTTTCTGTACAAAATGCAGAGGATTGACGTTAAAGATGTGGAAGGCTGCGAAGTTCAGTGTCATCGGGTATTTTCCCACGTTGTGCTTTTAAAGTTGTAGCAACGTTTCGGCAGAATCTTATCTGCCATCATCAGGCGTCTGTATTGTGTTCGTCTGTGAGTCAGACTTTTACAGTTGTTTCAGTTTTAAATTTGGGGCTAGCCTACTGCTGTGCCAGAATGGTTT